GTTGCGGTTTTTGCTTGCCCCGTTGGGACTGTACGTGTTGTTGTCCCAGGGGGATCAGTAGTAGTGTTATCATTATAACGGAACAGTCTCCTGGGTTCCTGAGGGGGATCACCATGGCGGTTGTGATTGGTGAGTAGGATGTGTAGTGGTGGCGTCGGGGTTGTGTGAAGGGGTAGCTCATGTGTGAAGATGTCGTTGTCGTGGGGTTTGACCCGCGGAGTTGCGTAGTTTGTCGTATCGAGTTTGTCCTCTGGGTCGTATTGTTCAGCGTGGTGAGTTAGGTGTGAGTTAGGAGGCCGAGCCCCGCTAGGAACCCGGCATGTTTCCTACTCATGTGGGGGAATAATCGTAAAGAAGTTTGCGAGGGTTTCTCGTTCATTTTCATGTTCGGTTTTCGTAAGGATGCGTCCATTGAGGTTGGTTTCAATATGATTCACTATGGCTTTCGTGTTCATCTTGTCATACTTGATGGCATTGTTGTGGAATGTGTCTGGGGTGTCTATTGCATACTTTTGTGCAAAGTATAGTTGTGCTCCAAATCTACAGATCTGTTCTCCTATGGCGTGTCCAAAGGTGTGGCAGCATGTGCATTGAACTTTGTTCCTATACTCGAATGGTTTCCTGGTGTTGTTGAGTTTCGTGATCGTCGGTGCGAGTTGTGAAGGGGATCTGCGGTCGCTGCGTTCAATATTGGGGTTTTCAATAATGAATTGCATCATTGAGGTGAGTCTAAGATGGTCAGGGACAGGTTTGTTATTCGCATTCGGTGTGAGCCGTCGGTGGGCATAGAGGAGCGAGAGCAAGCAGCATCCAGCGGAGTAGTTGCAGTGTCGCATTGTTTGGTATACCAGTTCATGGCTTTGTTCGAGATCCGTGTATTTATGTTTGTGACACAACATACTATTCCTCACATGATTTTGTAGTTTTCCCACATAGGTTCCTGGATCGTCTGTACTGGTCCATTCGGGTCCCCAGCCGTTTTGTGTTGGCTTGAGATAGTCAAGGGAGTGTCTGGCAATGGCATAGAGAGCCTCGTATCCAACGCTATCAATCGTGTATGGGGCTATGAGGCCTCGAAGGAGGGTGTGTCCGATTGGTATGAGTCGCGAGAGACGGCCGTAGATGTATATACCGATTTTTCGGATATTGTCATCCGTTTCATTGTGATGGGGAGGAATGCACGATTCAGTTTCTGGTAGTTGATCAAGTGGGACCAGGGGTAGGCTTTCTAGGCTCATCATGTTGTGGAATTCATTATAGATTGCCGTAAATTCAGAGGATGTGAGATATCTGTTCGTTGGCGGTATCAGGTTGTGGTCGAAGTCTTTAAAGTCCATTGCATGGAATGCCTTGCTGATGCGGTGATTCTGTTGGTGTCTTATCTCGCCTTCCTGTATGTGTCTCTGGTGGTCGCGGCGCTGTGTGAATGATCGGACCTTTTCTGCATTACCGAACCTGTCTCTTGGGGGTTGGTTATCAGAGCTATCCGAATGTATCGAGTCTTTATTGGGGTCTGAATCGTGATCCGGGTCTGAATCATCAGGATCCGATGGTGTGTTAGTATTGCTGCGGTGGCGTTGAGTGCCATTGGGCTTATGAAGGGTACGATGTGGTGGAAGTGGGCCCGTTGGTATCGTTGTCGGGTGAATGCAATCATTGATTTGATATTGTATTAGATCCTTGAGTGCTGAGGATGATGCAACATAGGAGTGAATAGTATCGTCGATGGTACCCTGGAAATCGTCGGCTTTGATGTAGGATCTGATGGTATTGTTAACTGTGGATGTGATCGTTTCATTCACCAAGTTATCGGTCAAGAGGTGTTGCTGGATTGACCGTTTGATGTCAGTTTCCGCAATAGTCTTTGTAAGTGCTATATTTTCTTGTGCTTCTATAGCAGTGTGATTAAGTGTTTGCGTCGCTTTGGTTCCGTATGCAGTAAGTTTGTCCATGTGTGTCTTGTGGAGTTGGTGAAGGGTGTCTTTGGAGTTTTCAATATCTGTGTTGATTAGTTTAAGTGTATCCTGTGCCTGTGCGCTGATTTCTCGCTTTGCTTGTGTGATTACTGTGTCATTCAGGTCCTGAACGAGGGAGTGGCGTTGTTCAAGCTGCTTATTGATGATGTCCTGTACTCTTGTCTCCAGTATGGTTGTGTGTGCATTGACAGTGTCAATAACTTTCTGTTCAATGTGGTCCCCTATCGTGATGAGGTCCGTTCGTCCTTGTTCCACAACTTCATTGATCTTATCCCGGAGGTCAGCAGTTGCTATGGTGGTTGTTGTGATTGTGCTTGCCTCATCCTTTAGTTGTCGGAGGTGAATAGTTTCATTTTTGATGGATGTTAAGACTGTTGATGCTCGGGATGTGCGTTGGTCAAGGGCCCATGTGGTGTTAGCGAGTTGGGAGATATCTGTTTGAAGATCCTCATTAACTTTCATGGCATTGTCAAGTTGCTGTTTATGAAGGTTAACCTGTTGTTGGAGAGTTTCGATGGTGTTGAGTGCCGTTTGCAGTTTGTCATTTGCTGAGGTGAGTTGGTTCTGTGCTTGTGTAAGGTTCGTTGTTTTCTCCTTTAAGGTGTTGTTGAAGCCTTGTTGTATGTTGTGGATCTGCGAGGTGATAGTGGCAAGGTGTTTGGTCCATTTAAGATCATTTGCTTGTAGTTGAGCCGCAATCGTTGTGAGTGAATTGGGTGCTGCAGGTGTTGGCTCCGTGGTTTGTGTACTGTCCATGTCAGTGGGGTGTTGGCTGTCCATGCTGTCACGGAGGGATTGCAGTTCTGAGTCAATCGTCTCGTACTGTTGTTCATACAGTTGGATACGGTCTGACATATCATCCTTGTTTTGAATCCCGTTGGTGTTTACAGTGCCCACATGACTTGCTTCATTGGTTGCTTGCATAGCGTCTCTGCGTTCGTTAGCAAAGCGTTGTTGAAGATCTGTTGGTGCTATGGGTACCGAGTTAGTGGAATCCTCATCAGACTGTGTGTGGGTGTTAGTTTCATCATGTTGTATTGCTGCGGCATCCGCAGTTCGTGTTGGAATGGGGTTGGAAGATGCTGAGCTAGGGCTTGATGATGCGGGGCTTGCCGCAAGGTGGGGAGGTGGCCGTGAGACACGGCGTTTCGTAATGGATTCCGGTGGAGTGGGTTGATTCCTAGGGAGTTTAGTGTCCATATACTGAATAAAGGCCTCGCTGTATTGATATCGAAGGAGTGAGTGTGATGGTGTATTTGTTGGTGGGGGTATGCGGAAATGGTTCCGGTGGATGAGTTGAGTGAGGTTTTCGCCTAGGGCTGTAATTTTGTCTGTATCCTTGAGAGCCTTGGTGTGTATGATGTTCAGGTGTGCAGCAAATTCTGCCGGGGAGGGGGGGGTTCGGGGTTTGAAAGGGAAGAGATCTGTGTTATAGATGGTGTTATTGGAGTCTTTGGGGAAAACCAGTTCTATGGCACGGAGTTCTCTTTTGATGGTCCCATGGTATTCGCTAAGGTGAAGTTTGTGGAGGGAGTCTCCTCCAATGGTCCTAGTTGTTGTTGGTGCTGGTGGGGACTTGGGGACGAGGTATCGTTCCATTGGTGATGCTTGTGGGTTCCTTCGTGGTTTTCGATTGGGTCTGCCGGAAGTGCGGCCCGATGGGCGGCGTGGCGTTGTATTATTAGAACTCTTTGGGGTAGGCTGAGGCATGGTTGGTGTTGTTGTGAAGGGTATTGCAGTTATGCTGTTTTTGTGGTGGGGAATGTGGTGGTGGTGTTGCGGGAGTGGATGTTACCGCTTTGTCCGGTTGGTTGGATTGGTGTAGGGTTTCTATCCAAGTATACGTATCGATTGTACGCTGATGTTACGGAGCAATAGTACTTCGATGTTTGTATTGGTGTTGATTGGTGTTTAAAAGATCCAATGTTCGTCGGACGCGGGAGTGGGTGTTTACTTCGAAAGTAGTATTGATTGTGTTGACATCTTGAGTGTCACATTGGTGTTCGTCATAGGGTTGAAAAAAAAAATATTGCTGTTTTCTTCCGGTCGTTGTGGGTCCAGGGTTTGTTGTGGATCCGGGGTTTGTGAGGGTCCATTGGAGGCCTCTTGTTGTGGATATGGCAGCGTTTCCACTAGTTGCTGCTGCTGGGATGTGAGTTATCCATTCGGATGATGATGGTTGATGAGACTGAGGTGTGGTTGTTGCTCATAACCTGCGAAATGTACGTATGCTCTTTAGTGTCGTATAACTACGTGTTTACAATAAAGAGTGAGTGGTTGCGCGTTATTTGTGCTCACTCACTATCTACTCGTGATTGCTTGCGTTTTACGGTGTTTTAGTGCTCACAGTCAGCGATGAAGAGAGAATTGTTAACTACTACTGTACTAGCTACGAAGACTCGTGATAGCATCACGAAGCGAACTCTTACTCGTACTACTGTACCCGGACGTTGTGTTTTTCTAGTTCCTGAGTCGAAAATTGATGTCGATGACATACCGTATGTACCGTATCGTACTACAACTAATGTAGTACTTATTGTCATTTTTTTTACACCTTGACCAATCAAAGATGAACCCGGAAAGAAGAACGGAGGAGAAGCTTCGTGTAGATTGGCAGCTCCGTGCAGTCGCTGATGAAGAAACATCTCGACAGTTCGAGCAGTCGCCGCTGACGTACTCGCACTCCTCCGAATTCTAAGTGAAAAAATTAAAATCATTCCATAAGTCATTCCATAAGTATCCACTCAAGTATCCAGAAACTGGCACACGAATATCAAGATATATTTTAGGCACACGTTTTCAATCGGAAAACAATTCCCCATCGACAGACTCTCGTATTATTTTGTTGCTTTCGCCATTTTCTGAATGTCCCCGTCGATGTTAATGAGAACAACGGAAGTCAAAACAGTGCCGTTTTTAGATTTTATCGTTATCGGTTACGTTGCGTTGTTTTTGCAATAACTATTGCAATGATAGTAGGAATTTATATCTGTGCAACCAAAGGAAATGAAAACAAGCGCAAGTACATATGTACCAATTTTAGTGTTTTGGTAGCCTTCGCGTTCTAGTATCGTGATAAAAACCACAATGTTGTTGATCTACGACAACCACACATTTCAAAAACATCTGGTCCCACCACGCGATGCGAAACCCAACGGACACCACCCGAGACGGTGCGGTTCCAATCCTACCCCACCGGTTCGGCCCTTTGGCGTGTATGGGCCGTTGCCGATGCGACGATGGCCCGCTGCTTGCCTTTCCGTACGTTGCTGCCGTGGTGCATCTACGCTACAGTAAGAACTACAAGTTTCACAAGGTAGTCGTAGAAAGTTCAAATGCCAAACGTGGGCTTGTTTCTAGAAAATAACATCGCACTAGGCGTTGCGTTATCGATTCGTGCTGGCAATCGTGCTGTGTCCCGCAAAATGGTGGTTCCGACACTGCGAAAGAAGGCGCCTCCGCTTCCTCGCCGGCGTGTGTGTGTGTCCGTGTTCGATCGTCCGCTTGTCGGGCGTTGCCCGTTGCCGTCCCTGGTCGTTCTTGCCAAAGCCGTCGGTGTTGATGGTGGTGTTGTTGCTAGTAATGTTCGTGGTGGTGTTGTTGCTGCAGCGGACGCCGACGGAGCAGTTCCTCCCCCGAAAGGTTCCCTCGAGCTGGTGGAAGGAACAGGCGGACACATCGACCGGTGTGTCGTCAAAGACGAAACTCCCGGTCCACTCGTGGCAGGGATCCCCTTGTTCGTCGTTGTCSGAAACGACAAAGTTGGAGGTCCATCTTAGCGTCGACGTGGTGGTGGTGTGGGTGATGGACCCGTCCGCGTTCTTGCGAACGACCGGCCCGTGCGGCTCCGGGCGTTGGTGCTGTGGCTCGTAGCTCCTCTGGGGGTTGCTGCTGCTGCTGCAGCTGCCGATACCACCGTGGTGGCTCTCCCGCCTCGGCGTACAGACGGTGATCTTGTACGAGACGCTCGGGCAAAAGACGCTCTCGCTGCTGCCAGGGGCGCCGCCGCCACACCCGTTCCTCCGCCGGTCCCTCGCGGCCACGACCGAGAGGGTGACGTTCATGCGCAGGGCGTTGGTGGGGACCTCCATCTCGAAGCGGCACGACACGACCCTGTGCGGGCGCTCCCGGAGGGCCGGGTCCGTGCCGGGCCACACACGGCCGCTCTCGCCCTCGCTCTGGGAGCGACGCCTGCGGCCCACGGCGATCGAATTGCTGTAGTGCTTGAGTGCAAACAAGGCGGGGCCCCGTGGTTTCGGTGGCATTGGTTTTGGTTTCGATCTCGCGGAAAGAGGCATGTTGAAGGAAAAGGGTTGTGTTTGTTGCAGTGTGTTGTCTTGAATTGTGTATTCTTGTGTTGTCTTGTGTCGTCTTGAATTGTGTTGTCCTGTGTTGTTTTGTGTTGTTTTGTTTTGTTTTGTCTTGAATTGTGTTGTGTTGTGTGACACGAGGAGGGTTTTGGGAACGAGGCACCGAACACGCAGCAGATGTTGCAAAAACACAAGGTGCCAACGAGGGATCGTCGTCCATCGCAACAAAAACCGTTACGTACGGTACACATAAAGTGAGGGGCGAAAATGAAGTGTTCCCGGATTTCACTTGACTCGGCGAACGCGTGATCTCCTATAGCGAATAGCGAAAACCTCATTTAAGACGTGTCAGGTCTTCATCCCGTCTGACTGGTTTATCGTGATTTGTTGACGTCTCATTGTTTTGTCATCGATCGAGGGAACGAGGGAACAAGGTATAAATACGGGTTTCCATAACAAAAGATTTCGAACTAATGTTCTTATTTATTGTTCTCAGGTTGAACCAATCCGTTTTCTTTCCTTTTGATTGGTTCCAACGAATTCGAATGACTCATTGGACACGTTCCGGTTCGGTTGGCTCGTTTGTTCCGTTGCCTAAGACGGAGTGTCTTCGCTTTCGATGATATCCTACGGGTACGATGCGTCAAAGTGAGTAATATTCGTCCAGACTCCTCCTCGTATCTGGGCAGAGGGACAAGAACTTCGGATGGCAATCGATCTGACGGACTCGGAAGTAGAAATCATATCGTAATGCATAAGTACAAGTTACATACTTCAAAGTAACGAAGAACCGGTACAAGTTGTGTACTAGAAGTATTTGTGTGCGTGTGTGTGTGTGCAGGCAAGGAAGGAACGGAATTCCGGTTTTGCCAGCACGTCACAATTGCTAGAACAAGAAAGAACCCCTGCGAAAAAGGTCTGCCACCGCATCTGTTTTGCGATGGATCTGTTTCCAATACCAACCAGCGAGCGGGGACGGGAGCGGGACTCCTTGTTTCTACGAKACGAGACCAATCGCGAGCAAGGGTTCTAACTCTTCTTCCCTTTCTTCCGGGGGCAGGCGGATCCCTCTGGAATTCATAGAACGGGAGGACGAGCACAAGAAGACAAGACAAGAGGGACGTGGCCGAACGACCAGATGCGACGATAACAGATTGGGTCTCCGGGTAATGGCGTGGCTGCCGTTTGGTTCGGCATCGTAGAAGAACACACGGTTCGCAGTACGACTACGCTTGCCTGTCTTGCGAAACTTTGTTCGCGAAAGCATCCGCTGCGTTGGGGGTTTGGAGTTCTGAGTTCTCCCTTCGGCGATCGGTATCGTACCGTACGGCGCGGAGGGGGCTCGAGCACTTTTTGGTAGAACTGAACTCTTCGTATCGCAGCCACCCGGCATCGCAACAGCTTCCCGATGTGGTTTGCCCGCCAGGAGCGCCGTGGGATAAGAGCGGGGCAACACCGGCATTCTGGCACGACAGGTTACACAACACAACACATTCCGGCGGCAGGCCATAGGGGCGGGGACTCTCCGTCCGTGCGCGTGTGTGCCGATCGGAAAGCCTCGAGCCGCGAGGAACTGACTGWTGCTTTCTGCTGTGCGGTGCCTATCGATTCCCCGGTGTTCCTTTGCTTCTTTTGCTTTTTGTCGGACATTGTTGCTTGTGTTTCTGCTTTGCTGTGATGTGCTTTGCTTTGCTGTGATCTCCTCGCGGGTCGTGCTCGACACCATGGTTTGGAGTGCTACCGAGACAACTCGTTGTGCCGGCGGCCTGCTGCCTCGAAAGCTGCGTCTGGGCAGGGGCTCTCGTGTCGCACGCGTGTTTTGCCTCCAGCAACCTCCCCACCCCAGTTGGGGTTTTGCTTCTACTAGACTAGACAAGACTAGACTAGTAGCTGTAAAGCTTCAACCAGCAGATCTAGCTGTGCTCCACAAGCTAGACTCGCTAGTACCGAGAGAGCTGGGTTAGCCAAGGGAGGTTGTGTGCGTGTGTGTTGAAGTACAACTTGTGCGCTTGTGAGGATTGACAACATCAACGCGTGAACGGAACTAAATGAACAAAGAGTGATACTACTGTATTGCACAAACCCAGGAACAGATCGTAGCACAAAGGCCACTTACTCTCGTGCTTACAGTGCCACGTTCCACCCAAGTCGTCTACAGAGGTCTGAAATCGACCAACATTTGGTGGTAGTGTGGTGGACGTAGCGTGTTGACCAAGAGG